GCCTCAAACTCTTGCTTTAAGGCCTCCTGAGTATTACAATTGTAGGTATACATCCCATTTAGCCAAAGGTTTAACTTCACTTCTCTGTTGTTTGTTTGAGACAGGGTCTCTTGCAGCCCAGGCTGGCTTCAAACTCACTATGTATCTTAGGCTGGCCTTGAACTTATAAATCCTCCTACCTCAGCCTAAATGCTGGGATTACTGGCATGAACCACCATCCCTGGTCTTATTTGCATTTCTGAAAGGGAAAAGATATTACTATTTTTGTTGCCATAATCAGGTATTATAGAAGGCTATATAAACCTCAAAGTCTCCAGAATCCATAGGAATAATCACACACAGCTAAAAGAGCAATTCAAAATGCTACTGTGGTACAGGCAAGGGCACCGACTGCCACATCACAAGTTTTCTCAGTGTTCTGGTCAGACACAGAAGTTATGATTGGAGCCAGAACTCAGAGGATTGTCCCAAGTAGCTGGGAATACACTGGTACTCATGCTGAGTCCAGAAATAAATCCCAGCAGATGTTTAGGTTCTGTGTGGAATAAACAGTAGTGTAGGAAGCAAACAGTCCAAGAGCCAAGATGATAAAGGACTGGGAATGAAAACAAGGATGGCCATGTGGATAAACATGCTCTTCCTTCTCGACACATTGTGTCAACAACCTGGATGCCATCATCAGGGGCAAAGGAGGTGCCAAAGAGTGAACCAGCTCAGAATTTACCAATCCACTTCAGGAAAATCATTTATAAAAACTGAAGAACCCTCTTTTATTGGCAAGAACCTTTGTAGGGCTTTCAAGTAGCTTTTATTTAAATTGAAAAATATTATTATAAATATATCAGAATATTTTTATTTCTGATTGATTGGAATTCAGTCCTTCATCCTAGCCAAGAAAAGCTATAGTTCAGTAAATGAACTTAATCCTTTATTTCTAAAGATTTCTACTAATTATAACTAAACTAAGGGTTCAATGATTATCTAAACTGAGGGTTTCTATATGGAAAGAGTATGAAACAATTACTCCAAAATCAATTCTATAACTGACTCCATTTACACATTCTAGTTGATTCTGAAGCTCAGAGCACTGCAACAGGAGGTAGAGGCAAGGAGGACAAGGTTCTGACTTCTGGGGTCACTGCTACATTCTGCTAGATTCCGCAGAGGCCACTTTTAACCTGAGGGTGGGCTGGCCATGCTTTGCATCAAATGGAACACTGTACTACATAAGTAAATAATACAAGGTGTTACTCAGAAGTCTCTGGTGTTTCTTCTCTCTCTAGTGACTGACCTGGAGAAGAGGAATGACTGTAAAACACTTACATTGCCCTGGTAACCACACTTGCCCTTCCACCCAGCACAGAATAAAAAAGACTCCAGGCTTATGGTGCAAAGAGAGCATTAACAAGGAAGTGCAGAGCCACAGGCAAAGGGAGGCATGTGACTGAACCCCAGACACAAGAATCTCTATTTCTGTTTTTACCATGAAGGCACCCGACTCCTTCTCGAGGATGCATACACACTAAGTACTAGGCTGCCTGGTTCCAAGAGTGCTGGACCCCAACCCTCATTGCTCTAGGCACTGTGTATAAAGACTGCCAGTGGTGACACGAAGCCAGCTCTCCAGTTCAGTTCCTTCCTGTCTATGTGCCCCCCAGCAAAGTAGCAAAACGCTCAACTGCCCATTTGCCATCTACTTTGTCCTAAGCTAAAGGAAGATACTGGGTTTAAGGGAGTCAGTACATCATCCTGGGGGTGCTCAGCAGTCAGTACATGCACATCTCCTCCCATAGTTACTGGTCCTTCCCAGCAAGCCCTCTGCATACTCCCTACAGGCAGGAGGGTGGGCTGGTTTCCACACAGCTTAGGCCTTCAGCTCCTGCTAGAAGCAGGCACTCCTCTGAGCCTGTTCTCCAAATGTAACACGTCAATGATTCTTATCCTGTTCCTCAGGTGTCAAATTTGGTCACCTGTCTGCCTGGCAGCTGGGAAAAATTCTCATGACTGCTTCAAGGCTGTTTCCCTGGAGGCAGAAAATGAGCAGAAGGTTCTTCAGTTCTATCTCCTCACGGTTTCAATTAGGAAGTAAATCCTAAACAACTAGCAGTGTTTATAGTGACACATAGCAAGGAAACACTACATAGAGGCTGTTGTATTAACAAATATACTCACTCACTGTGTAAGGACCTACCTGCTATGTAGGGTAAGTCACTAGGCTTGTTGAAGGTTAATTTCTCAACTACAAGAAGGGAAAATGAAAAGGAGGGTGCGGGGGGGTGATGCATCAGCTGCATCTTTTCCTCGCTCACAGGTAAAACACCTTTGAGGGAGGCAGAAACCAGCCAATAAGGTCAACATGGAATGTTCTTGTGGAGTCATACTTGGTAAGTAGTCCATTGTCCAAATGACCCTAATTGCTGGGAAAGGCAGGGCTGTGATATAAAGCTGGACAGAAGGACATCAGTATGAGCACATGTGAGAATATGGCACTGTTTGCAACTGCTGAAGGTGAAGCAGATTTAAGACACTACATAGTCTGGAGTTAATGTATTGGAAATGTCAGCTGAGTGACTCCAACCATCAAATGTGTCCCCAACACCATAAACCAACAAGCTTGGGACCCCTGGCCAGTCTGCAGTGCTGCTGTTTCTAGCTCGAGGTCCTTCCCCACCAGTTGCTGTGTCCTGTAGAGTGACAGGGACCAACTGGACGGCTTGAATTGTATGTGCTATTTCTGTGCATAGGATATGAGTAAACATATACTACAGTAAGTCAGATGAGGATGTGAATCAGATCACATCATCGAGTGTTGAAAGAAACTGATCTTCAAAGCATACTAGAAGCATCATGCAAGCTTCGGCACCACCACTGAAGGAACGACAGTTTGAAAGAGACTTGTAATCACTACACAAAAGAGAAGCGCTAAGAATATGGAAGGTGAGAATTGTCCAAGGCCTGCAAGTGGAAAAAACATGTGTACATGAAGCAGCCAGAGGATAACCTTGGCTGCCATTTCTCAGGTGCCATTTACCTTTTGAGTCAGGGTCTTTTATTGGCTAACCTGGGATACATGAGACCCTTTCTCAAACAAAACAAAACAAAACAAAACAAAACAAAACAAAACAAAACAAAACAAAACAAAACTATTCACTGCTACTATGTCACAAAGCTACACCAAAAGATAACCATCTGTAATGTTCTTTATAGAAATGAAAAAGGGTTAACACTGTGACATCCACAAATTAGTTAAACTATATATGTCCCTGTCATGAAACTCATGGAAACTGTTATGGTGAAATGGCAAGTTGTAGAAAATGCATTTGGTTATCACATTCTGTTAGAAAAGATGTGTTTGGATAATAAGAAACATTGTGACAGTGAGGTTTTTTTTTTTTTTTTTTTTTTTCTTCATCTTTTTGAGACAGGGTCTCCCTGTAGCCCCAGCTGGCCTGGAACTCACTATGTAGATCAGGCTGGCCTCGAACTCACAGAGATCTGCCTGCCTCTGCCTCCGGAGTCCTGGGATTAAAGGCGTGTGCCACCATACCCGGCGACAGTGCTTCTTTACACCCTTTATACCCTTACTCAGTGTTTTAAAATCCTTTGCAAAAAATAGCTATTAGTTTTACAACAGAGAGTATAACCAGCAAAGATCTTCATGAGAGGAAAAACAGTGTGAATCTGTCTTGTTTTTCTCTAATCCCAAAGTTCTGGGAGGGTTCAGAGTGGTCGAGTCCCTGCCAGAATCAGCAAAGGCTCTGCAGGATAAGCCTTGGGAAAGCCTTAGCTCAGGTAGCTCCCAACTCTTGGAAGCTGGGTGTGTGGATAGGGGTCCATAGAGAGAAATAAAATGCCTCGGGAAATAGGCTTACTGGCCTTGGAAGCCCTTTCAGTGCTGGTGAGCAGCTTGCGTGGCCTGCAACTGCCCTTCTGCTTCCTAAGGTAAGGAGTTTACTGCTGGTCACACTCAGGGCTGACCCCAGCCTGGATCCCATTCAACCTTGGCATGCCAGCACTTCTTAGCATGGTTTCTCTGGCATGCTGTACAAAGGGCTGTGAAGTTATTAGCAGGAAGTGAAGGCAGAGAGCCCCTTGGAAGCAGCTTTGCCTTAAGGGCAGTGTGAGGGGCTGCTTGACCTGCTTCTATGCCACGTCCATGTCACAACCACAGGAGTCTATCCTGAACCCTTCTGGCCAGGCATTTCCTCTCTGAGTCCTAGGATCTGTCCTTTGGCCCTTTTTGCTAGGAGGGGACTGTGTGTGGCAGCAGTGTACCTGCTGAAACCTCAGTACCCAGGTCTGGAAACAACTGCCACTTTGGTCTTGTCTGCTAAAGGCCAATGAAGACAAGCCATTGTTCAAGCACTATGTGATCTTCCTACATATGGGTTCTTTCCACATCAGAGTTTCTTTTCAGTAACCCCTACAAGCTTTCAGATCTGGGTTCAAATGTCACTGCCTCAGGGGTGCCTCTCTCTACACCCCTAAGCCAGGCCAGGTCATCTTACACCTGGATATTCAGCTGAAGCTCTTGGAGTTTCACTCTCTTCTCACCTTCCATTTCCTTTCTTGTTCTAGGTGAGAAACTATGGCTGCTCCTGCTGTATTCCCACGCATGGGACAGCATCTGTGGCAAGATGCTGCAAGGGCTTTTGAAGTGGAATCCATGCCAGTGGAAGGAATGCTACATATCTAAGTGACCATTACCAAGGGGTATTCCCCTCTTAAATGCTGGAGATTTACATGAGCTAGGTAGTCGTAGATGACAGTTTAAGGGAATTTGGAGATTCTAGAGAGATTTCAGAGGTTCTCAGTTAGAATGGCAGAACCTCCTTGCTTATTTCTTTGGGCTCCTTCAACTGCCTCGCATACTGCGGGGCGTGCTGGGCAGTGGCCGTCCTGGAGGACGGGAAGAAAAGGACAGGCGCAGAAACACTCTGCTCATATCTGAGGGGCCTCAGACAGCTCTGGAGGAGGGTGGGAGGACAGTGGGCACTGACCTCGGCTGATGCGCTGCTTCTCCCCAGACAGGATGCCAGGACTGTCAATGATGCTGATGCTCTTCAGGACCTGGTTGGGTAGCTGGGAGCACATGAATCTAAAAGAGATGAAACAAAAGTGGGGTCAGAAACTAGACCTTGCAGAAGTCTTTGGGGTGCCTTGGGCTCTCTGCTCACTAATGTCTGTAAAGGGGAGTATGGAGAGGATGGATAGGGGATAAAGATGTCTCTAAGCTAGGGCTTAGAGGAAACTGATGGCAACTTCACTGGGATCAGAGAATAGATGTCAGTTCATAGACAGGTGTGAGATGGGCTCAGCCCATTGCTAACTGACACCTGATCCCTTATTGTTAATTTTGATTTTAGTTAATATTGATAGAGCACTTGGGCATTTTACAAATATCACTTAGTTCGATCTCTATATTAGCCTCCTACTATCAATCTTGGAGAGGTTAGGTAGCTCAGAATCACTCAGAGATGGGCCTGTGTCCCTATCTGATGCACCATGATTCAGCGTCTGGCCCAGAGCCCTCAGTGCTTCAAGCTCAGCAAAGGGCAGGCACCTCTGGGCAACACCCCACCATTCCTGGTGTTTAGGAATCCTAGGGGTACCCCTAGAACAGGTGAGAAGGCAGAGTTAGGAGAGGCCTTGGCTGAGTATCTCCAAGCCTCCTTCCTTGTCTCTCACTTTTTCCCACCTCCTCCTTCTGACCATGATACCTGCTGCTCTGCTTCCAGGCAACTAACTATCCAGGCGTCCAGGGTGAAGCAGATGGGATGGAAGAAAAATTTTAACCCATTTTCCAGCGGGCCTGGGCTCAGATTCTGCTCAGCTCATGTGAACAATTTTTTCTGTGGGACCTTTCCCTCTGGGCCTCAGTTTCCTTAGGTGTAAATGGAGACTAGAGTCCAGCATGTCCTTGGGAGCTTTCCCATTATGAACCCATTAGTAAAAGCAGGAAGCACTTTGTTACTTCCACCCCAGGCAAAGAGCCCGAGTTGGATCTTAGCGAGGTCTGTGTATGTTTGAAGGAGGAAACAGAGGGCCTCTCCTCTTCCTGTGTTTTAAGCGCCTAACTTCTGTATCTGTGTGGGCAGAGGCTGAAAACAGTTGGGAACAACTCGATTCTTCCATTCAGTGGAAGTGGCAGGGATTACTCAGAAAGTAAGTATGCTGGGAATGCAGGACAGGGAGGCCTTGCAGCCTCCACCGCACTGTGGCTAGAGCACCTAACCCTGAGGGCAGAAAGGGCAAGATGCCATTACTGACAGCTCATGACAACTGTCCTTAAAGGGGCTCAGGACTAGTTTGTCACACATTTTCCCCTACATTTCTGAGTAGCCCAAAGGATGGAGGAAAGACAGCACAATCCTTTTGGCAGGTGGAAGGGCTGGAGCACAAAACACATCTTGAGCTATGCAATAATGCACGGCTGGCTGGAGACTACAAGCTTTCTAAAGTCAGGTGAGTAGAACTCGGTACAAAGAGTTGAAAAGCCTCAAAATGTTAAAAATAAAGGGGGTCAAGTATATTTAAGAGAAGTCCCTTGTTTTTGCTTTTTCTCCTACCCCAAGCCCCACGGCCTGATACTAGCGGAGATTTGTGAGCAGAGTACACAGAAACACCGACACTGTGTCTTAAGTTCCCAGAGGAAAAAACCCCACTATTCAGCTCTCTAGAATTGGGGGAGGAGCAGTGTTCTGAGCACAGCTGGGGTGGACACCCGTTTCTTGTCAGTCCCTCCTGAGACATGTGGCAACGTCACATCTCTGCCAAACGATTTTACACAAACTGCTCCCACAGGGAGGCTAATGTTTCTCTAAAACCACAAGCTCACACTCAGTATCAATTTCTCCAAAACAGAAAATCCTAGATTCTAGTGTGAGGCTAACAGAGGGACTTAAAAGTCCTATACTGTTCAGTCAGTATGTACAGCAAGAACATTTCAAGGGTGTGAGTCCTAGTGCAAGAGGCAGTGAGAATAGCTATCATCATCACACAATACACAGGACAACTGCCAAAAAGGAAGAGGAGAGTGGGGCTCCGCAGGGCACCCAAGAAGGGTCTGCTGAGGCCATGTGTTCAGGACTAAACTTCACTCCATTAAAGAAACTATACGGGGTGGGGCAGAGACAGGAGGGCAGAGAGCACAAGCTGGCACTAGCCCTTTGGAATGCCACAGCAGGTACTACAAGGTTAGAACTACACACGCAGGTGTGCTTTTAAAACCACATTCTACAGAATCAGAAAACCCTAATACTGTGATGGTAATTACCCCATTGAGAAAGTGAGGTGAAGGGCAAGATGATCTGTTGTGCCCCTCACAGTAGGCACAGGTCAGGCAGCCCCCAACTGCCGTTTCTGCTGAAACATGTCCAAGCAGAGATCTGCCATCTAAGATGGATTTCCTACTCCTTCTTAGGAATGACTAATACAGAGGCCATCTGGGTCTGGCTGCCTCCATTTCGCAAGAAATGCTGATGTACTGGGGAGATCCAGAGCCTCTCTTAGCTCCCATGGGTCTCTCCCACTGATCCAATGAGTTTTGTTTCCCAAGGTCAAAGAAGAGGAGGGAACAATCAAGATCCTTCTCTGGATCCCTCACTCCAAGTCACCTCCCACGTCTAGGGAAGATCAGGGTAGCAGAAAGGGATAAAGTAATGGCAGGGATCACAGATTTCAAGCAGGTTGCTACTGTAGCCTCACAGGAACAGGAGGAGGGGAGAGTATTAGATTACTTAAGATGACCCCCCAAAACTAAAAATTTAAGTGAATGATCAATGCATTAAAAACTAAATTTGGGCGGGGGCTGGAGAGTTGGCTCAGTGGTTAAGAACACTGACTGTTCTTGCAGAAGACCTGGGTTCGAATCCCAGCACCCACATGGCAGCTAACAACTGTCCGTAACTCCAGTTCCAGGGGATCTGACAGCTTCTTCTGTCCTCTGGAGGCATTGCATGACATGGGTGCACTTATGTACATACAGGCAATACACTCATACACATAAAAATAATAAATAAAATATATTTTTAAAAAACTAAATTTGTTGGAGCAAGAGAGATGGCTCAGCAGCTAAGAGCACCTACGGTTTTTGCAAAGGACCTGGGTTCATTTTCCAGAACCCACACAGTATCTCACAACTGCCTGTAACTCCAGTTCCAGGGGCTCTGACACCTTCTCATCTCCACAGGCACATGCACACGTGTGTTGCACATATATATGCTCACACACATACACATAAAATAAGATAAAAAATTTTTTTTCTAGATCTTAAAACTAAAAACAATGACTCTGGCTCTCTACTTAAACTACTAAACTACCTTTTTTTGGGTCTTTTTGAGACAGGGTCTCCCTGTAGCCCCAGCTGTCCTGGAACTCACTATGTAGACCAGGCTGGCCTTGAACTCAGAGATCTGCCTGCCTCTGCCTCCCAAGTGCTGGGATTAAAGGCGTGCTCCACCATGCCCGGCCTAAACTACCATTTTTTGAAAAGTAGATTGAGGGAAACACAGAACATCCAAGTCAAAAGCAGAATACCAGAAGAAAATGTCTAGTTCCAATCCCTGACACTTCTGGAACTGATCAAAATACACTGGTATCTTTCAGGCCCCATAGGAAGGCTGCTGTGGGCAGTGTCCATTCCTCCTCTGTGAGGTGAACCACTCCTGATAAGGTCTGGAATGTCAACAGCCCTACTCCATGGAGCAGCTCCAAGACAGGGGGCATGGGACTTATCTCTGATGAAGCAGTCTGGAGGCGTTTCAGAGAGGCTAAATTGTTTTTTTAAGAGGATAATTTTTAAAAAATATTTTATTTATTTTTATTTTATGTGTATGAGCATATTGCCTGCATGTGTGTGAGTGCACCTGTGTCGTACAATGCTGTGGGGTTCAGAAGAGAGCTTCGGATCCCCTGGAACTGGAGTTAAGGACGGTTTGTAGCCACCATGTGGGTGCTGGGACTCAAACCTGGGTCCTCTGCAAGAGCAGTCAGTGCTCTTAACCGCTGAGCCATCTCTCCAGCCCCCAGAGAGGCTAAATTTTAAAGCCTCATTTCCATCAAGCTTTTTGTTCTAGACTTAATCCTGCCTTGTATTATCCAAGTGTACAAATCCCTAATTCAGACCTTTGCAGGAACACATCATCATTTCTCAGAAAAGCACCACTGGTCCCTGTCAGTCTCTCAGCAATCAGCCTTGGAAAGTAAGAACTTGGGTTCTCTCAGTTTGCTTAATGGGGAAGGTGGTGTCTGTTACCCTCCAAGCACCACCTGGCACTAAATACCCTGTGACAGTCTTAACTCTTTAAAGATGCCCTTGGGGGCAGTGATTGAAGCCAACATCTTGTAATGAGAAGGCCTGGTCATCATGACCTGGGGAGAAAATTCTACCTAGAAAACAGCTGATTTGCCTTCCTATTAAGTTTTGACCTAGTTTCCATAAAAGTATGCCATGTAAAGAGTTCCCACCTTTGGAGCTAAGCCTGCTGGCATTCCCAGAGGGCTGCTACAATTATGTACACAAGCCTGAGTGCCCTATACTAACTATGCTCTTAAGCGCTCTGTGAAGTAGCTGCTCTGTCACGTGGATAGCACTTACTTGGGCTATCAGCATTATGAATTTCCATGAGGTACATTCTGTACCAGTGAGCCTTACATGGGCATGGCTACCAGGATGGATTAAAGGACAGGCATTTCTCATTGCCAGGGCACAGGGTGGTAAACAGGGGGAAAGGGAGGTCTGAATCCTGCCTCTTCCTGACTACCTCTTCTGCAAGTCACTTCTTTGCTTCTAGTTTTCTTCTCTGAGAATTGGCCTCTATAACTTTCTACCAAGCACATAAGCATAGTGCTGATAAATCTATGTGAGCTATACCTTGGGACATAGTATCTTCTCCATTATCTTCATTGCAGAGCTATCCTAAAGTTAAACGGGAGCAGTAGGCCAAGTCCAATGTCATGCCAGTGGGCAGCTCAGCACTGTGGTCTCCAACAGGACTCAGCCCAGAAGGCCCAGGTTTCTATCCCAGCACTGTCACTGGGCTGAGTGACCCAGAGGAAGTTACATTACCTGTGCTATGCATCAATTCTTCCTTCCCACTTGGGGATGATGGTGGCAGTCATGTCACAGCATGGCTTTCCATGCTTCATACACAAGTAAGGTTTGGAACAGTGCCTGACACATGCATGTAATTATTTGTCTTTTTTTTTTTTTTAATCCTGAACTCAATACTTGGTTGTATAATACATGGATTATTCTTAGCACATTTTAAATTCTAAGATGGTGAACCTTGAAACTCAAAATCTTTCCTGAATATTTTTCTCCCATATTTATCTGCTCTAACTTTGAGGTTTTAAACGCACTTATTAGGAAAATAAATCATTTGTCAAAGTAAAACAAAGTAACAGCTTCTCTTCCTGCAGAGTCCCTTGTAAGTATGAACTTCCCTAAATGACAATTTGAAGGGAAAAAAGAGAGGCAGTTTATTTCTTTTTAAAAAACCTTGTCAGGAGGGTCAGCTGTTCCTTATCTAGCACAGAACAGCTGACTCTCCTAAAACAAAGACCTCTAGATGGGCTGACTAGATTCACCAGAAGGGTAGGTAGTGGGGAATAGCTGGGGGTACTGACAACACAGCAGACAGTAACAGGGATATCAGAGTGTAAGGGCTCTAGTGGGGGGAGGGAGGCTATGGGAGGGTGCTATCTGAGAAGTGGGTGTATAGTCGAATGAGATGGTTTGGGATGTTCTGTGTGATATACACACACACACACATACACACACAAAAGTCGACAAAATTTTAAAAAATGTATTATATTTGAGGAGGAAGCATGAAATTTACATCATGCTAATTAGTAGAGGTGATAAACAATACCATTGAAATCTGCCCAATGACTTTATAGACATACACAGGTGCCAAGGATTCAAGTGCAACCGATTATGACTAGTAATAATCAGATACATAGAGATTAGAGATACAAGCGCCAACATCTCAGTAGCAAAAACAATGAGTCTGTCTGCAAAGGAACAATATATTCTAAAATGAAATGGAGATCTTTGTTAAAGGTTAAAAACTCATCCAATTTTATGTCTTACAGGGCTTATACTGAGTTTAATAATATATAACTATATTAATTCAACTGTGAACCTAGAAACTTGCACCCACTTGTGAAAGAGATGTACTGTTGTTCTGGAGTGTTACTGAATATGTTAAAGCTGTAGTGAAAAGCTTCTAATCGTGTAATTATTAAAAATTTTTAAAAAGTATAATGATTAAAAAAATAATTTTTCAAAGCATAAAAATTTGTGCCTTAATAATTAGTAAATGTGAAAAACATTATCACTGAAATCTACCTGATGACTTTATATCCATGCTCAGATGCCAAGGAGCTCAGAAAGTAACTGACTGTGACTAGTAATAATCTGATATATAGAGATTAGAAATGCATGTGCAAACATCTTAATGTCAATTGCATTAAAAATGAAGTCTTCTGCAAAAACAAAAAATCAATAAATGTTACTTGTGAAAAAGCAAAATAAAATAAAAATAATAAAAAAAACCAAACCAAAAAAAATAAACACACACAAGTGTTTAAAAAAAAACAAAACAAAAAAAACCTTGTCAGGGGGCTGGAGAGATGGCTCAGTGGTTAAGAGCACTGACTGCTCTTGCAGAGGACCTGGGTTCGATTCCCAGCGCCCACATGGCAGCTATGAACCGTCCTTAACGCCAGTTCCAGGGGAATCAGAAGGCTTCTTCTGACCTCTGCAGCACTGCACGACACGGGTGCACGCACATACATGCAGGCAATATACTCATACACATAAAATAAAAATAAATAAAATATTTAAAATAAACAAAACAAAACAAAACCTTGTCAGGCCAAAAAGGAACATAAAACAAAAGGCCAGGGTAATGACATGCTAGGATTCTAAAGCAACCTCCCAGGGGTATAGATCTTACAGACAGGCCAGTGCTCAAACAGATCTGGCTGTTGTCTGCCCAATGTCCTGGGTTTCTAAGGAGACCCTGATGGGGGAATTTAAATTTTTTCATTTCCCTTGAACTTTGGTCTACTCTGTTCTGAGACCCTCAAGACCCTTGGATTCTCCCACCCTGAGTTCAACCTCACACAAGGAGATGCCCCCAGTCATGGCCGCTCTGGAGTTATGGCACAAGCCCCTCTAAAAGAGAATCCGCAGCGGGGAAGCTATCTGGACAGTGTTCTGTTAGTCACTGTGTGTAAGAAGATGGAACTTGTCCAGGATTCCACCTACATCATCTGCATACTTCTGCTTACCCCACTGCCAAGTTCTCTTGCTACCATTTGAATGCTCTCTTTGATTTGCAACAGGAGTACTGAAGCCCATAAAGGAGGGACCAGCTCACAGAGCATGTGGCTTTTCAGATGCCACCTTGAAGGCTGTGGGGGGTCAGGGCGGGGGAGCTGTCCTCACACAGCTGTTGCGCAGGTGTTCCAGAGTCCACATGAATGGTCCCCTCTGAGTCTCCACAGGAACCTCTGTCTCTGGACAGGCAGCAGTGAGAGGGAGGGTCTGTTCCTATTTTTAGAAAGAGCTAGAAAGGAGAAGTGCAGTTCAAGTCTCCTGCTGTACCTCAGTGCCAACCCTACTTCCTCTCCTTTACACAGGCTGGAGATGCTCCTTCAGTTCTAGCTGATGCCTAGGTCCCCAAACTTCAAAGTTAGACTCGCAAAAGAGGGAAATGCAAGGGTATGTGGGAATGACAGGAAAGAAGAAGGCTTTAAAAAAATACAGATATTTTAACAAATAATTCTTCCAATCATGAACAAAATTTCCCAAATAAGACCCCAAAAGTACAGAAAAACAAAAGGAAAAATTGACAAATGGGACCCAGCAAGATGGTTCAGTAAGCATGATGACCTGAGTATGATCCCTGGGTTCCATATAGTGGAAAGAGAGAACTGACTCCCACAAGTCACCTTCTGACCTCTACATACCTGGCATGGCACGTGTGTATCCCCCAAATAATAAATAAACTGTAAAAAAAAAATTAAGTCAACAAATAGAATTACCTCAAACTAAAAAACCTCCGTACAGCAAAGGAAACAATCAAAAGAGTGAAGAGACAACCTACAGAATGAGAAAAAAAATATTTTCCAAAGTATTAATATCCAGAATATGTAAAGAATTAAAAACTAAAAACAAAAGCTCCAAAGAATTAGTAATCTGATCAAAAAGGGGAAAATGATCTGAATAGACATGTCCCAAAAGAAACATGGTCAATTAAATACATAAAAAAATGTTCAGTATCATTACCATAAGGGGAGTGAAAAACAAAACAATGATGAGATTCTACCTCACTCTAGCTAGAATGGCAGTTACTTAAAAAGACAAAAAATGCTGGCAAGGTGTGGAGAAAAGAATATACACTGTGTTGGTGGGAATGTAAGTTAAGGCAGCTGCTATGGAAAACACATAAAATATATATGAGTAAATATATCTGAAGAAAATGAAATCAGATGCAAGACACACCTGCACCGCCATGTTTATTGTGGCATTTTATACAACAGCTAAGAGAGAGATACAGAAGCAGCCTAGATGCCCATCAACAGAGGAATCAATGAAAACGATGGTAGCTGGGCCTGGTGGTACAGGCATATGATTCCAGATACTAGACAGCAGAGGCAGGATGATCTTAAGTTCAAGGCCCGCCTCATCTATAGAGTGAGCTCAAGATCAGCTTGGGCAACCCTGTCTCAAAAAAAAACTATAGAGGGTGGGGGGATATAGAGCTCAGTAGTAGAGCACATGGAAGCCCTAGGTTCAATCCCCAGTATAAAAGGAAGAAAAAAGATAGAAAATAAGATACATGTACATACATACACACACACAATGGAGTATTATTCAGGTGTAAAAAATAAAGTCTGGCCATTTGCAGCAAAATAGAACTGTAGATCATGTTAAATGAAATAAGCCAGAAAAAAAGACAAGTATTACATGTTCTTTCTCATATATGGAAGAACTAAAATAAATAAATAATTAAAAAATAAAACCAAAAGAAAAACAGTTGGGAGAGGGGACAAAGAAAGAAAGGTGGAAAAGAAGGAGGGAGGAAGGTCAAAGTAGCAGGTCTCATCCTGCCAGCAGAGCCTCAGCAAATACCTGCTGCTTGTTCTCCCCAGCCCACCAACATCATTGGGGAGTCTGCTGAAAGGTCACAGGGCAGCACAGATAAGCACATCTCCAATCAGGAAGAAGCAATCTAACATGTATATATAGAAAAGAATGGCCATGTATTAAAAATCACTTTTTGTTTTCACTCTATTTCAACCTCGCCCTGCTCTAAGGATAAGGCAGTAGCTCAAAGCATAGGAGCGAAAAGCCAAATGAACATCCAGGGAGGTGAGGTTACCTGCCTTGAATCAAAACACCAAATCTGGGTGTCAGGAGGACCTTGGGTCTTCTCTGGGCCTGCTTCCTGAGTGTGGGAGACCTGACACACTACGCTTGAGACTGGCTATCCCACTGCCACTGAATACCACTAGTTGTAGGAGCTATCTCTGGGCAGATCAAATTCTTAAACATTTGTTCCTCATGCTAGGCAGCCTTATAACATCCAGTCTTGGGCCTCAGCTATGCTCAGTGAAGTCACTCAGAATAGGTATACACAAGCAGGTCTTCTGATAGTCCCAGATATTAGAACACGATCAGCCATCCTCTATGACTTCACTCTTCTAGAACAGCTACTTGTTCTGATGCCACATGTAATTGGAAATAATAGAAACAAAAGGTTTAAACAACCTGACCAAAGTCTGCTGGTCCTTACCGGTTCAGGAAAGCATTTCCAAAGCGACTAAGCTTTCGAAATGGCTTTTTGGGATCCACAACTAAAGCATTCCCGGGGGTGCTACCCTCAGTGTCTCCATACATCACAGCGATGAAGGAATCTGTGGTGGGCTCAGGACCAATCCTCATGCCTGGGAAATCTTGCTCCAGTAAGTATCTGGAAAAGAAAAGAAAGTTTAGCATGATGTCACAAACAAGAAGCCATAGGGTTGCCTGGGTTATTAAAAAACTTGAAGGTGGAGGCAAGAGGACCAGGAGCTGAAGGTCATCCTCAGCTACATAGCAAGTTTGAAGCCAGTCTAGGTTACATAAGACCCTATCTTAAAAAACCAAAACCAAAAAAACCCCTTAGACATTTGAGATCCCACTGATACAATGGCACTACCCGAGAAGTTACCCCAGTACCTCAGCACTCCTACATATCCTGGACAAGTGCTAAGCTTAGCTCTCTTAGAAAAGCATTCCTGACCTACATGTGGGTACCTCCTCTGTGGCAGCACCTTGTACCAGTAGCTATGACGGTACTTCAGGTTATCTGGCAGAGTCCTGTTCCAGCCCTACCAGGAGATGACCTGGCACCTGCAGAAGGCTCAAGGAAAGAAACCACAGGAGTTTCCACAGCGCCTCACTCCTACAGTAAGTCATCTATTTGGTTCTAAGTTATTTCTTCATTTCTACAAGTCCTGAGTAGTCAAATGTAGCCCGTGACTATTTCTGGGGATAGAGTGAAAGAACTATCAAATGTCAAACACAGTTTTGCCATCTTCATAAGAATGAGACGTGAAACCTCTTTTCTATGTAAACGAAATCAAAATCAGTTAGCAATCTTAGTAGGCTACGTTCTAAACCTTTTCTTTATGTTATTGCTATTTTACACTTTATCCAAAGTTTCCACATCTCTGTGAAGTTGTAGAGACCTCAAATAGATGCATTGTTTTAAGATGTCCCGTAAGTTAAGGTAAACATGAAAAAAAAAAATCTGGTAATAACTCCCAGCATTTAGAAGAACGCACAAAGCCTTATGCATGTACTGTGCTTCATACGTGCACTATTTCATTCGGTCCCCACATCACTTTCAGGTGAGTGATAACACCCTCATTTTACAGGTAGGAAGATGCATCAGAGAGGAAAGCAACTTGCCTAATGTTATACAGTGAGTAAATGAAACTGGATTACAAGCAGTCAGCGTCTCAGATTTGTGCTACCTCCAGACAGCTTTACACTTGACAAGCAGAATTCAGGGTCCTCACCCCTGGAAATAAGGGCTTCCTTCTTCTTCCCATGTGAGGGAAAGGGGCTCTCCAAACTGTCCTTCACAATCCCCTATCCTTCCCAAGGACAAAAGCTACCTCTTCTCCCTGGAGAAGCTCTGAAGCAAGGACATGCTATTAATTCAAATCTGTTCATATTTAATTTTCCAAAATATTAAAATTGCTTTCAGTCAAAGTCTTAGTGAACTTAATGGCACAGTCAATACCCTTAGGAGAAGGAATGTTCACATCCATCAAGTCTTAGAAAATTCCATACAAATCACAGAAAGATGGGTAGGAGCCACTGCCAGATCATCTCACAGTCTGTGAGACCACAGCATTTGTAGTGTAGCCAGTGTGTACTTCCCAGACCCAGCTGTGTGTGTACTGCATACAGTCCCTCTGGGATCTCAAGTCTGATCCATCAACAGTAAAACTAGAATTCACAGCCTGCAACATCCAGTTAGACTTTCAGAGTCCTTGGCCTGGATGAGGCTGTGCAGGGAGAGAGGGGACTAAGGAGGACTAGAGACTACCATGGAGAAGGAGGGGCTTGAGTCAACAGCTTTCAGGGTTGCCGGGCTCCTGGTGGCACACACAGATGCCAACTCACAAAAGGGTTGTGTCCAAGTGTTGGTTTGACACTTGAAGGCAATAGGGTCAACTTAACAGCGATGGGCAGCTGGCTCAGGCAGCTGCAATGGGTCACACACACACCAAGGAAACAGAAGAAACAGACAGGAGCAGTACCATCAGCTTTGTGGGGAAGAGTCCAAGGTTCAGTTCCACCCTGAATGGCCCTTCTTGGTGCGTTCACCAGGCCCGGGCAGGAGCGCCCTCCAGGGTCCACACAAGGGCTGGTGAGAAAGGGCCTCAGTGAGAGGTGAGAAGCTACAGTTAGACTGGGAGTCCCCAGGTGGACAAGAGTTCACCTGTAAGGAGTGTTAAGTCAAACGCTCACAAGCAAGAGGTGTCTGAATTCCTTTCTGATGTTTCATTTACATGAAAGCACAGCAAGTTCCACCAACTTTGGAATTAAACAGGGGTTTCAAGGAAAACTTCAATGATAAAATTGTTTAAAGAACAAGTTTATACAGTAATCGAAGTCAACATTTCCTAAGTAGCAACCTTACCAGACAGAATGCTAGCAAGTATTTATTTTTAAAGAAGCCTGCAAATGTGGAGTAATTTAAAGTACAGGGTGTCACTCAACCATGACCTTGGTTTCTGGGTCCCAGACACAGAGGAAGAACTAGAACTGGGGAGTATTACTGCTTATTCAGGTTATTAACATACTCAGTGATAAGATCGCCTACAGGTAATAAAAAGGTCAAAACTCAATATTTAATTTCATGATCAAAGTAAACCACTGAAAGACAAGGTATATTGGCAAATGTTAAAAATATTCCATATACCCAATGCTAGTGAGGGTCACAGAATGTACCTCTTTATCTAGCTGGAGGGAACAGCTGGTACAACCTTACTGCAAAGGACTCACGTGTTTCTTCACATAGCAAGTGTCTACAACAGGGAGACCTTGTGGAGGGGGTCCTCTTCCACCTACAGGGGGGTCATCTGTGGGCCTGCTTACTCTCTCCTCATGGACTGTCAGTGCCTGTAGGACATGGTCTATACATTCACAATTTTACACTCCAAAGTCCTTTGGGAATCATCTGGCCCAATTCCTCTGAATAGACTGGTATTCCTGTAGAAAAGTGATTTGTTTTGCTGCTCAGACTTACAAAGTGGCAAGGACACAGGGATCCCTTCACTCCCGGCCCATGGATTTGTCCTTACTCTAAGACTCAACTCTGTGTATGACCTTGGGATCTCAGAGTACCCTCAGCTCACTAGTACTTTAGGGCCTGTCACATGCATGAATCAACATATGACATACTCTAAGTGGACTGCCCAAAAGAGTTCTGTTGACACTTAGATATATGACTCACTGCCAGGCAGGCAGGAAGGGAATAAAAAATAACCAAGATACCAAGTATCTGACATGAAAAAAGTGACCCTCAAGTGATGAGGTTAAAATCAGCAACCTGGGAGGGGAGGGTATAGTGGACCCTGAGATGTGACACACAGAGGTAGATTAGCCTCACAGTCCCATGTATGAAGCTGAGCCAGGAGTCAAACCTTCCTCTGGAGACCTCAGAGGATTTTACCAAGGCAGGAGTTCCAGGGACTCTGAGGTGTTATCTGCCATAATAAGAGTTCAAAGGAACAAGAAGCCACAGGAAAGCTACAGAAAAGAATTCACCATGATGCACAGACATCCTGTGCCTTACAGACTTGATGTTTGTCCTTGGCACCACCTTGCTCCCTTTCCTGTGTTCTCAGAGAGGCCTGCCAGTTCTAGTGATGACCGCTCCAAGGGTCTCGAGCCAAGCCATCAACATTAAAAGGTACTGTCATTGGATTTCATGCAGCTGGGTGGAAGTGGTGAGGGTGGACAGGAGATCTGACCTCTCCATGTCCTGGCCCGATGAGGTCCCTGTATGTGAATGGTGTCTTTTTCTTCATTGCTTAGGCTACAGGAGAAAAAAAAGAACGTCAAAGAAAAAAGTGTCATTTGTGATAAAGGGAAGAAAATAAAACAGAACCAACTCAGGATAATGAAAAGTCCCTCAAAACACCTAAGCACCAGAATGACTGAAAACAAAGAAAAGTAAGAGGTACATTATTTAACACTACCACCCCAAACTCCAGTTGTGAACTTTGTCTCCTGGGTATTTATCATGCATTCTCTCTGGGTTTTCACTTTAGTATTTTGTTTAGTAATACACTATACCTTACACTGGGAGATTTGTTATGTGCCCAAGTCTTGTCATGAACAATCTCAATTCATCCTAACTACTTTACGGGTAATCACTATTTTCATCCCCATTCTACAGGTGAAGAAACTAAGGATCAAAGAGGTGATCCTTAGTGAGTGAGTTTAAGTTAAATCAGAGTTAGAGAGACTAAGTGAGCTGCCACTGAGAGCATTTATAGGAACATTCTCTATGGTTCACTAATGTTCAAACAGAAGATTTTATTAAGTAGTTAAGTTTATTAAGTAGTTTATCAACAAGTTAAGTACTCTAAAATAATATGTATATGAGTTGGTGTTTGAGCACTACTTTGACCTTCTAAGCTAAAGTCTATAGAAATGGATTATGAAAACATACAGGATTTAAAGAAATATATTTGTGCAAACATTGGCATCTGTGCGTGTTTCAATTAATTAATTACTATGCTTGAAACACTTTAAACTTTAATTTTTAAATTACATATATTTATTTGTACACATGTGTATATGTGTCTGGGTATTTGTGTGTGCATCTGTGTGTGGGGTGGGGTGTGCATGCCATGGGGTGTGAATGGAAGTCAAAGGACAACTTTCAGGAGTTGGTTCTCCCCCTCTATGATGTGGGTCCTGGGGAGTGAACTCAGGTCAAGGTTTGGCAGCAAGTTCCTCTACCCATTAAGCCATCTTGCTGGCCTACTGAAACACTTTTTAGAAGAGAATTAAACATGGAGCTAGAGAACTGGCTCAGTGGTTAAGAGCACTGGCTGCTTTTACAGAGAACCGAGGTTTTGTTCCCAGCACCATATGGTGGCTCACAACCAGTTATAACCCCAGTTCAAGGAGACTGATGCCCTCTTCTGGCCTCTGAGGGCACTCGGCACACATTGGTACATACATACATGCATACACACAAAAAAATTAATAAATATTTTTTTAAAAACAGAGAATTAAACATCCCAATAGTCACCTCACTCCTTTGAGTCAATACAGTTTTATTTAGTTGTCTGTTTTATCTGTGGTTCTTGGGATTGAATCCAGGCCCTCAAACACATTAGGCAAATACCTGATCACTACGCCCCATGCCTACCCTTGCTAAGGCTTTAAAGCACACAA